GACGGACGTCGCGACGTGTCGGACATCGGACGTCGGATGGATGGTTGTAGATGGTTGTAGCGCAGCCTCGCTCCGAAATTACATTGGAAACGTACTCGTACGTATCGAATAATGCGGCAAATTGAAATATGTTGAAAATTCATTGGCATGCCATGCCATGCCCGTGCCTTCTGATGGCCTCCAGAATTGGATTGGAATTTCAGAATGCAAATGCAAATGCTAATTAGTTGGTGTCATAGGCTGATCAACTGGATTATGAAAGGGGCCTTTCTGTTCCAACTGACGAACATGCATACATACAAGTATATACCCGTCTATGTAGGAGAGCATATCGCACGAAACAGATGCAACAAACTCCACAGAAAACTCAAAAAAATGTCAAAATTATGAGTGGAGCTTGCCACTAAAAGCTACATTTTACTTGTCTCCCATCTCACAGACCTTAGTATGAATAGTCTGTTTTATAGTTGTGAACGGCTATAGGTAGATTTCTTCCACAGAACTGAAGAACCAACAAAAGTGAGTAAAAGTACAAATTAGCTTACACTCTTCATTCATCTTAATTGGCTAAGATTATTATTTAAATGTTTTAATACAAATGAAATATTTAGCTCTTTATTTGTTCAGGTCCTTTTGTCGCCTCTGATAATGATCTGCTGTGAAGGGAAGTTGCTATTAGACATGACTGTAGCTTCGACTTTCAACTGATTTTTAAGTAGATTGTTAATTTTAATAGATAAGCCAAAATAAAGTCGAGCCATCCAACCCAACCCAACCCAACCACTTCTCTTTTTTGTCCGTAAAAAGACAACTTTAAAATACTCGTAAAGTTTCTTAAAGCATCAAATCTAATTCATAAATTATAATTCTATTACAACTCCTCAATATCTTCATTAATTCATCCATTCACTTCTGTAAATAGCTCAATTAATATAAATTCATTATAATACTGATATAATTCATATTGTTTGTTAAGTTAAGCTTAAGGCTACGTCGCTACAACGTAGAATAACAAAGCTTATCTGTAATTTTATTTCTTTAAATAAATAAATAATAAAAACAGTTCATCAAAGAGGCAAGTGCAAAGTTTTTCTGATCATATTAAAAAGACAGTAAAACTCTCTCTTTATCCAGACACCCCATTTAGGCGGAGACTTTTTCCAAAACACGTTCTGTGAACTAAATATTTCAGTTTCCCCTTAAGCGGACGGCAAGTATCCAGCCAAGAGAGTTTTTGCTCTATAAACCGTATAAACTCCTAAGCGTTTCTTCATTAAGAAAAATGAAATTAAATGAAAATATTCATCTCCATCGAAAGTGTTTCAAACATCTTAGGCTAGAAGAGCAAGTTCTTTCAATTTGTTTGTTTGATATTTGAGCTTTCTCCACATTATATTCTACAAGTATTGCCAAAGGCAGAATATTATGTGTTTCTCCAAGTATTGCCAATTGACGAAGTGCCTTTCTATTGCTTAAAAGGTTAGTAAGAACTATTTTATACTGAACAGTTGGTTAGTATTTTGTACAATAAGATGGGACTTAAATTGTGATACATTAAGTATATTAAATGACGAAGGTGGGGTTATATTACGAGGAATACTTGGGTTATTAGTCATAAAAATTGATGGAGGGAGAATATTAAATTGATTAATTAAAAATATTAAATTGATTAATTTTTGCTGATTAATTTTTCCTTCTAGAAAAAAGAAGTGAAAAAATAAAGCACCATAGTTTTTACAACAAAATATATTTTTGTTCCAGAGACTTATTTCGCGCACGTAACAATATGTTTACCAATTTATATAAAAATGTTGACTTTATTTGAAGCGGTAAAGGGTTAGTTTTTGCATAATATCTATTAAGTTTTTATGGTCGAAAAAATCAGCATAACTACCTTAGATATCATAGGACTCTATTTGTACTTGTATATTCTGATAAATTACGTATGTAGAGTTTATATTTTAATACGAACCACATTAAATACATACAAATAAATAGTATCCTAATTTGTGAGGTAAATAGTAATACCGCATTCTGATTGGAATGGGATGTTCGAATTATCAAGTGTTTAATTAAATTTATTTATATTTATATCATGAGACAAAAATATAAGTACACGTACAAGAAATCGATGCATTGTGCCTGGCTCGGAGTGGAATTATTTTTGTGGAATAAACCAGATGGGCTGTTAGGTAAGGGGGACGTGCTTTAGCTGTAAATTGCAGCATTATGTAGATCAAAGCCATGTCATGTTCCAACTTCAAATACGCCTCGCAAATGCCTCTAGGTGGTTGGCACTGGCATGTGCTTTGTGTTGCCTTTTTCCTTAATTAATGATACACCTTCGGACGCACAGGCCCACTGAGCAGTTGTTGCAACGCCTGGCGATGCAGGCTACCCTCGGGGGAGCGGCAGCGGCCAAATGACTGACCAACTGCGCCTAAAACAACCCCTTAAAGTAACAACAACAACAACAACAAGAGCAGCAGCAACGGGAAGCCAATGAACAACACCCCCGCGGCTTATTTAATGCTTCAGCGCCTTTTTAAGGTGAGGAGAAACAACAGCAACAGCAATAACAACAACAACAATGATAAATACGAGTTGGCAACAGGAACAAAGCTACAACTGTCAAAGGGTCACACGGAAGTTCTTTAAAATGTAATTAAATTTTATGAACTTACATAAATAAAGACATCCAAATGCCTCGGAATCGTTATGCAGACAACACGGTCTGCGGGAAACCTCTCGCTTTTGGCTCGAACTGTGTGTCGGACGGAGTCCTTTGTTGGTCATCGCCATCAAAACTGGCAGTCAGACAGCCGGCCAGCCAGCTAGCCAGGCCATTCGTCATGCAACGACTAACGACCAAATTAAATGCATACCTGTGAAATGAATGCAAGCCGAAATGGAATTGTGCGAGCAGGTTCTAAGGCGCAAAGGACTCGACAGTGTGGTGCCCAGGACAATGGTCGAGAAATAAACGAGAATGCATTCATTCTCTAGCTATGTGGAGAAATGCAGGGAAATTCAATTTATTAAGCTAGATGCTCAAACAAGTCTCGTGTACGAGGATTTCATTTGGAACTGTTATTGTGAAGGAACTAAAAACTCATTAAAGCTAAGATTTTTAATTATGCTCGCCACCCACCATCAAGAGTCCAGTTTTTATTTACAAGAAAGTCACAAAGAAGTCCGTTAACAGTGCAGGTACAGTGTAATCAAAATGTCATTCTTAAGCGATCCGTTTCCATTTTGTTGTGGCACATCTGCAAGAATGCATCATTGCATGCTGGATTGTTAATTATTCGTTCCATTCCAAAGGTTCCATCTTTCTTGCTTGTATGAATAGTTGAATGAGAGATGAAGCATCGCCTTACATTATTGCATTCCATTCCGTTCCATTCCAAACGTTCTGTTGCCCTCATGCTTGAATGAACAGTTTCGTGATTGATGAAGCATCGTCTTCAGCCTTCATTTTGCTTCCCTTCTGCTTACAAAATGATTGTTGTGCGTCTACTCACCCCATAGACATGCAAATTATTCTTTTGTTCAAGTAATAATGGATAGTGGAACATAATAAGTGAACAAAAAAACACAATAAACGCCCATTTCCCTTTTTAAATATTTCTTTTGTTTAGGTGTGTATTATGTCTCTATAAGATGAGTGAACAAGAAAGACAATTGAAATTTTTCGAAAATTATAAATTAAAAATGCTATTTAGTATATATTCCAGAAAAGTAGATAAATGCTATTTATAAATATAGAAACACACCTATTGCTGATATTTTAAAAAGCATCACTAGCTGGACCTGCCTGCTTCCTGATTGTGGTGATTGATTTCTTTAGCGTAACGTTTCAGAATATTTTTAAAATCGTTCGAGTGCATCTTATGTTTATAGCGTATTTCTCAATCCTCTGCGCTTTACGTTTTTTGTGTTTTAATAGAGCCTTATTTTGTCAGCAACCCCCATTCAATTGCTCGTCCTCAGGTTTAGAACGTACAGTGGAGCTCAAATGATTCGGGCATACTATAATTGATATAGGGTTTTAACTTTCAGTTAAGTGTAGCAAGTTTTTTGAGGAGGTCAGAGAAAGTAATAAGTATATTTGAATATAAGCGATGATCAATTTCAAGCACCGGTCAAGGCAAGCTTTTCGAGCTGGTCTGAGAAATTATTAAGCTAGTCTCTAAACTTCTGCACATCTAAATTCCATTCAACATCTTTGTAGGAAGTTGCAACCAACTCTCATCTGCACTGGTCTGTTCTGTGAAAACTTTCAAGGTGAAACAAATTTTAAATATCTACTATTTCTCAAAAAAATCAATAATTAAAACGAACTTACTGATTGCGTTTTGATCTTAAAAATTGTTTTGATTTTTCATCTCTTTTTTCAACAAACTTAAGCTGCCATATTGGTAGTAGCATAATTGTATTTTTTCAAAAAAAAAAAAAAAAAAACTATTTTCAAAAAAGACTAGAAGTGTTTCAAAAAGAGTTTTAAATGTGATATGGTGCGGCACAACTGTTTCATTGAACACAACGATAGGTTTATCTCTTCAAATTTAAACACAACTGCTCGCTATTTGTTCGATGGTGCAGTTTTGTGAAACGCCGCTGGCGCCGGGACCGGGGCTGGTGCTGGCGTTGCGCGTTCGGCGTCGACATCGTTGCCCCACAAGGTCAAAGTAATTACAAGTAAACAAAGTTAGAGGCAAGCCAAGCAGCAAGTTGTTGCCGTTTCGCTGTGCTGTGTCAGCAAAAGAAACTGCGACAGGTGTCCAGGTAAAGCAGCTTGGCCCGCGCGTACTTGAGTGGTATGAGGAAATTGGGGTCCGCTGCAGGGAAACCTTATAAAGACACGCGCTCTTTTGAGACTGAGGGGGCAGGCAACAACAAATGGGGGGCAGATATGTCCATTTGCTTGATTATTATATTATGTAAGTGTGTCTGTGTGTGTGTAGTACAAAAAAAAATAAAAGTGAAGAAAAATGTAATTAAGGTCGAGACCTGCCAATGGCCGACAAGTTCTCCAGTCGCCGTTTCTCGCGCTCCTGCCTCTTGCGTGCCTTGTGCTCCCGCCAGAGACGCTCCATGAGACGCTGACCCTGTTTCAGCTGGATGCAGGCATGCACCATCAGTTCCAGCTGCTGATGCTCCTGCTGGCGTCGCGCTATATATTCGCGTCGCTGCTCCTTTTCCGCCTCCTGCAGCTGCTCCTCCCTGGTCAGCTGACGCTGCGGCTGGGCGTGCCTCTTTGTGGAGTCGCCGGGAGGTCGACGCGAGGATTCGCGGCTCTGGCGCAAGCGTGTGGCACGCTTGGGCAGCACATAGTTGCGCCGGTTGGTGGGTGACCAGCGCAGTGCCTTTGATACTGCCGTCATGAGATCATCTTGCGATTGCTTGGCGGATTTGGCCTTCACTTTTTTTCTACTGGCCTTGAGCTCTTGTTTGCGCCACAAAGGCTCCGCTATCGCTGCGGGCAGAGTTTCAAAAAACAGATGCACATTCTGCGGCGTCACTAGCTTCGGCAGCTCTGGCGGGCTCGGATGATCTGAAAGATCTGGTGGCGCAACGACCTTCTTGTTTCTCATCGGTTGCTTCAGATACGGTTGCGGCTCACTTGGCGGCACTATGAACGAGGGCTGCACCTTCTCCTTCATTTTGCGTCCCAAAATGTCCAGCAGACCCATTTCCTGTGCCATCTGCAACACCTCCGAGGGCTTTAGCTCGCCGGCCTGCTGACTACATTGCCCCTCACACTTGCCACTGCCGCACAGCATGGCCTGCCGCTGATGCACACATTGTTTGCCATGCAGCTCGTCGAAGAAGTTGGATATTTGCACAATGTCCTCGTAGCTCTCGTTTATCAAATCCTTGACGCGCTGGTCCCGATTTATGGCCACTGTTCGCAGCGAAGACTTCAGAACCTTGAAATTGGCCAGCGCTTGCAGTTCATCGAAATCGCCTCGGTTGTTCGCCAGATTTGGCAGCTCGAGCTTGCTGACATCCTGGCCAACGGCCTCCATTAGCTGGCTCCAGATATCGCCATTGCGTAACTGGGCCAGCGACGTGTACTTTGTGTGGAGCAGCGAGTTGATCCAGTCCAGAATGAGCTGCGCATGCTCTGTCGAAATTCCACCATGCCAGACTGAGTACGCGAGTGTTTAGTGGGAAGTACTTAACTAGTGCGTAGCGCTACTTACATCGATACATGTCTGCTAATATAAAATTAAATCGTGTTCGTAATGTTGTGTTTTCAAAATGTTTGTTTCTATGTATGTTTGTGTGTTAGTCTTACAATAAAATTCGTTTTAATACACTCTACAATTTTGACACAATTGTCACAAGCTGCAAAGCTTAGTTTACAACATACTTGCTTCCAAATGTACTCAGTACTCGATGAACTACTCAGTTCTTTAGGAATTACGGTCAGTACGCACATCAAAAAGCGGAAATAAGTTTGCTTGTCGGGCGCTAATGTGATCTTTGTTTTGAAGCATTTCATATATAATTGTTACAAAAGGCATGGAAATAATATATATATATATTGGCATCGATACAATAATTGAGTATGTTTTAGGGATGCAAGCAAATTGTTTGCCAGGGCGACATGCGATAGAAGTGAAACTTAATGTTTGTATTGGAATATTGATTCAAGTTTATTTTTTTTTTTTATGATTGGTGAGGGGAGTCTTTATTCTTTATATTCATTAATGTGTAAAACAATTATATCCGTCTATGTTCTTTACTCTCCCGCCACTCTCTTTAAAGTGCCCCATCTTTATTATTTATCGTTTTTCTTAAAAGTATCGATATAATGTGTTTCTTAAGATTATCGGTTACATTTTTGTATTATCAGTTTATTTTGAATTTATTTACATTATTATTATTTATACATGGCTAGAAAATGGTTATCGTTTTCAGTTATCGAGCTAGAATGCCTTTAGAAAATGGCTTAAAAACAGCTATGAATAGCTAGACCCGCTATAAAAACACAAGAAAAACAATTATAAGTAGCTAAACAGAGGGTAGAAAATGCGCCAGAAAATGTCTAGAAAGCCCATTAAAAATATATAAGGAAACCGATAGCAAATGGTTTGAAACACCGCTACAAATATATTAAAAAAACTCGCCGTCAACGGTGATTGCCGATCCGAGCATTCAAGAGTCTCAAAAAATGCAGTTCTATTTCGCATTAAAAATATTCCTGAAATCCCAAAAACCACAAGAAATGGTGACGCTCTTGATTTGTGTGCATTACACACATTACATACATTATAGGTCTTTGTGTATATTTCTATACCTAGAAAGTATGCGTATAGCCACGTCTAATATTATATATACATATGTATGTAAATCAATGAATTTAATTAATTAATTAATTGCAATTTTAAAAGCTTTTGGATTTAATATTAGGTAATTGCCATTAAAGTGGGAAGGTTAATTAAAGATTGGTATTAATATCATTTTTGATCTGAATTTTTATATTACGTCAAGTACTTTTAATATATACATATTTAAATTTATAAACTCTCCTACATCCTGTAGGTTTTCCCCCTTATATGAGCGTCTTTTTTATGAAAAAGTAATATTTTTAAGCTTTCCTGTATCGACAACACATCGATTTTATAAAAATACCCATCGATGGACATCGGCATCGATGTTTTCACTCTCCCCGCGACTTACGTTCCTAGTATATTTGTGTGCGTACAGTACGTAAGTTGTGCAAAACAAAAGACCAGCGTTGCCAGATCGCTGACAGCCATTTTCACAAGCATCCAAAGCATACGAAGTTTTACTGCTGTCCGCGAAAGTATCAGTTCGTTCTCCTCATACATACTAGGGATGTAAATCGAAGCGAAAACATCGATGTTGATGTACATCGATGTCTCGTTATAAAACATCGATGCATGGTCGATGCATCGCAAAAAAACATCGATGCACCGATGTTTTAAAAAATTAACTTTCCATAGAAAAAAAGCTATTATTAGGAAGCTAATCAGCAGAGAAGCTTGAAATAAAAAGTGTTTATATATCAAAAGAGACTGTCATAGCATTTTACTTAATGTTATTAATCAAAATAGTACTCGTAATATTGACTTTTGATGAACTTGTAACTTATTATAACAGTTTTTAAAATAACGACGCGTTGCATTACATACGAAAAAAAGAAGATCAAATACTTAACAATCTAAAATTTATATTATAAAATACACATTTTAACGAAAACATCAAATAATTTATGATATAAATATACATACCATATTCGGTAAACCACACAAAGAAATGTGACCGTCAAACAAAACATGAATAATGTTCGATGTTTGGACAAACATCGATGGATCGACGAGAGATCGTTAGCAAAAAAACATCGGAAAACATCGATGCATCGTGGTAAAAACATCGTCGATGCTCGATACATCGATGTTTTTTTACATCCCTAATACATACTAGAGCATTACTTTGTTTATTGTTATTGCTTTTGATCCTCACGGCTTGCCCGAAGCTCAACGTCGCTATCGAGCGGATAGCGGACTACTATACCATGTAATACATACATACATAATTGCCATTATAATCGTTTGCAACACATACATACATATGTACACACATACGAGTACATACATACATACCTATGCACAAGTTTTATTGGCGGCCAAAAGGGAAGAGTTCAAGAAAAGAGAAGTTGAAATAGACGCCACAGCTTAAACATAACCAAGAATAACTTTCGCTTATTTGTTTGCACTTCCTTCACCTTCGCCCAGCCCAGACCTGCCTGGCTAGAGCCGTGAGTCCTGGGTCGTGAGTCAGAGTCGACGTCGTCGCCACAACAGCGCCAGTCGGGACAAGGTCTCCAGCAGGAGCCAGCCATGGGCGCGCATGTGCGCTCGGATGCGGCTGAAGTACCGCTGGAGCAGGTACACCAGCTTGGTGCGCTCCAACAGTACTTCGGCCAGCCCCCAGAGTTCGCACTCGGCCGTCGGCCGAATCTCAATGCCAAAGGGCATCAACTGCCACTTGCAGAGCACGGCGCCCGCCGCCTCCAGACTGCACCAGAGCTTCATGAGCGTAGCCTCGAGCGACACATAGATGATCAGCAGCTCCAGCATCAGACGCCACACAGCATGCAGTGTGTGCTGTGGATGTGGATGTGGATGCGGACGCTGATGCAGTGCCGACATCTTTATCGCCGACGACCACTCCAGCCGAAGCAGTCCATCACCCAGCGCCAGGGCGAAGATGAGTGTGGCCAGCGTTGGCGTTGCGAGCGTCGTCTGCATGTGCCTGCCCATGTGCTGGACACAGCCGTCCAGCAGATGGTAGCCCATGAGGAGCGCCACCGGCAAAAGGGTGATCATTGCGGGAATCTCAGCTTTTTCAAGGCTGCTGCTGCTCCTACTACGGACCACAATTTGATCGTCGCTACAGTGAAGCTGCCGTGAGTTAGCCATGCCTTACGATCCGGGTCCCTTGGAGTGCATTCACCTCTTCGGTTTCTCGCTGGTTTTATGGCCAACTGCATAAAATTTATTGGAGTGTAAATTGTGGAGAATTTTTTTTATTATAGTGCTGCTTAAGCTTTTGTTTTTTTTTTTTGTTGGAATTTTAAATTCGATTCTCAATGACTGCTATATGGGGGGAAAAGAGTGTGTGTTTGGAAACCCTGGAAGATTATTAAAGACAACAACAAGGGAACAGCTCTAATCCACATACTTTGGAGGACCAGGACAGGCCTAAGTATTTGGATTGTACAGTCAATAAGAGCCCTAAGCACTACCATAAACTTCATCTCTGCTAGTATTTAGTAAATTCTTCAATTCAATTAAAGCTAAGCAACATCCGTTTCATAACTATTTTTCAGAGTCGAACATACATTTCATACTACATACATTTCGGATCTATACACCATCAATCAATCAATCATCAATCAGAGTAACCTTTCCATAGAAACTTGTAAGCTAAAAATGAATCCATAAATTGAAATACAATCGAGTTTTTAGTCAAAATAATACTAAAGCCTACAATAATTTAAAATTAAACAATTCTAATTGACATTTGAAGACAAGTTTAACAATATTTGCTGATATGAATAATATTGTTTGAAAATTATAAAAATTAATAGTCATATAGGATCAGTCTGTCCACCTGACAGACAGAGAGACTAATCGAAGGCGCTAACAGAATTTCAACTCATTGTGGAGACAAACAAATATTATTTTAGAATCTAATTTTTATAATCGCACGTTTTCTTCATTAACTGCATTATATTTCATTAGTTTTTAGATTCTGTCAATTGTCAAACGAAAAAGAATCCTGAAACTTATGTATAAATAAATTATAAATTTTACGATGCCAGATTTCGGAGAGTATTGTCTGTAGTATTGGTCCTGCTCCGACATAAAGAAGAACGGCTTGATTCCTCTTCCTTTTTATCAATTTTTCAACAAATTTTCCAAAACTATTGATATGCTTTGAATGCAATTTTGGAGTTACTATAGGACTTGTGATATGAAATATTATCCTGCGATATTTCAACTTTTCAATCCAACCTTTGTGGTTCATAATCAGATGAATCCAAATCCGTTTAGTTAGATGTACGATCAGTCCAAACTTTTGTTTTGCAGTACAAAAATAGTAAGTCCAGGAAAGACTGTTCTGCTTACTAATTCAAAATACGTCTATGTATATATAATAAATATTGGAAAACAATATTTGAACAGTTCAACACAAATTGCAGTCAAACCTTGTTCGAAGAAGTATAATTTTAACACTTTCTAGATCGTTTGATGAACACATCTTTCCAGTGCATTTTTCCCGTGAATATTTTGCAAAAGTTTTCAAACCTACCTTCGATCGATGTACCAACCTTTTGAGCATTGTCTGGGTCATTTTGAAAGTAAGCCCTGACCAGACAACATACCTTCGCGCACACACACACTCACATACAAAGGTACTAGTGCTATGTGGAAGACAAAGTCGACGCCTCGACAATTGTGATTGTGACAATTCTGTCTGGGAAAGTGCTTCTAATTAGGCATGCCAAATCAGGCCTGGCAACGATCAAAGCGTCTTACTCAGCGAAAGATGCGACCGCGGCACGCCAATAGGCCCGGTACCCGGCACTCGATCCGCACCGGGTCCAAGTCGCAATTAACAAAAGCGGCTTTTCAATAAACTCCGGTCCAAATGTGTCACAATAAACGACGACGAAAACGACTAAAACGACGGCGACGTCAAAGCCAGCCACAATAACA